CGTTATTACTTATTATTTAGGTATACAAATTGTACAGCATGTCTGAATCGTACCTAATCATGATTTTCAATTATAGCGATTAATAATGATTATCAACGACATTATCTGTATCTAAGTTTTTACCCAGAGCAGGTAAAAATAATTCTACTCGCCCAAACGGTACATAATATGATACTCGCCCAAACGGATTATTAATTTATAGGTAAAAATTATTAGCTTCGCCCAAACGACCACCGCCCGTCCAAATTGCGCCTATGCAGCAGGGTAGTACCCAGTTACTCGACATTTTAGATTCTGAGTGGAGTGATGAATGTAGGTATTGATTTTACGATGATGTGTGATTCTTTAGATTCTGAGTGAAACGATGAATGTATTGATTTTACAATGATGTGTTTTTTTTTTATTTTTTTTTTTGTGTCTGTTATCACGTTTTAGGACAGTAAAAGTGCTTGGATTTTCTTCAACAGTAGCTTTTCTGATAGGAAAGTGAATCTAGTTGGTACTTTGGGCGGTCAAAAGTAAAAATCCCAGTAGTTCCCACAAGCGCCGGGAAAAACAACAAAAATTAAGGAAAAATGGGAATATTTACGCAAAATCAGTTTTCCAAAAAATCGATTCTGGATTTTGGTGTAACTCTAAAACAAATTAACGTATATACATACAATTTTCACTGGTTGTTTATATTTACATTTTCTATAACATTTTCAAAATATTTCGATTTATTTTGAACTGTTTAGGGAGATTTTCATTTTCCATTTTTTTTTAGTTTTTTTTCTAAAAATATCAATAAAATTTTATTTTTTGGTTGCGAAAGCTTGAACATTTAATAGAAGGCTCCTAATATATTGTTTCAAAGGCAGATTAAAAATATTAAAAATCCTTAATCACAATTTTTTTTTATAAGCATTTAAAGTTAAAAAATTGACAAAATATGGAAAAATCACGAAAATTAGCAAATTACTTTGAGTTAAGAAATTCGTCAAAATCTTTCTTTTTAAATCTAAGATTTGAAAATGAAATACAAGATTCCTTATAAGATTATCTACCTTTATCAAAAAAAAAATGTCTATAAGAAAGTCAAATTAAATTTTTATGAGCGTTTGAAATTCAAATTTGTACAACATTGGATATTCACTCGATTTCTCATGTAGCGATTTCCTTATTTTGTTGTAATACAAAAACGAACAACTGTAGATACATGAAAATTTCACTGAATGTTTATATTATAATTTCCTACACACCATACAATTTTGAAAATATTTTGACTCTTTTTGAGCTGTTTACGGACATTTACAGCTTTCAATTTTTTTTAGTTTTTTTTTCTATAAATATCAATAAAGTTTTATCTGTTGGTCCAAAAAGTGTAAAAATTTAATACAAGACTCCTGATATATTGTTACACTATCAGTTGAAAAATATTAAAAATACATAGGCACAGTTTTTTTTTATAGGCATTCAAAGATCGAATTTTGACAAAATTTATCAAAATCTCGAAATTTGTCAATCATTGTAATTAATAAATAATAAAATGTTCAGTTTTTATAGCTAAGGATTGCAAATTTAAAACAAAGGTTCTCATGAATAGTTCATACTGTAACCAAAAAATCTAAAAAATATACGAACACAGTTATTTTTTACAGACATTTTAAATTCAAATTTGGACGAAATTACATATTAAAAAACCTAGAATAACTACCTATTTTAGTTATTTTGTTGTGATTGAATAATATTATTTGTGGGTACTTAAAACTTCTAAAGTGTACTATTATATATCTATGATAGTATCACGATTTTTGTTGATGTATAACGCGTTATAAGTACCTAATGGATATTGTGATATGATTAATTTGGAATTTATTATAGGTCAATTTTTTGTTTAATACCATAGATATGTATATAATATGTCTTATACATAGACTGACATACCTACCGTCTCCGCTCAGAATCGTTTTTCTTATACAATGATATTATATCGTTGAATTCAAATTTAATATCATCCATTATACAGTGACCCACTTGTAACCAACTGTACAGCAGAGCTACACCCACTTGCCCACCTTTTTTATTTTGTGTCTGTGACCCGTGTACACGATAAGTAGTCGAAATAATGCTTAGAATTTAAACTTCAGTATCTTGTTCGATGTGAACGTGAATTTAGTTGGTGCATTTACCAGGTTAACATTCATAATTCCAATTCGTATTTTCAGAAGCATCTGGAAAAATAAAAATCAAATTAAGGAGAAACGGGAATTTTTACGCAAAACCGGTTTTCAATCAAATCAATTTTGGTTTTGGTGTAACCCTAAAAAGAAATAATGTAGGCAGATACATGCAATTTTCATAGAATGTTTATATTTGAATTGTCTATATTATATACATCATACAATTTTAAAAATTTGACTTATGTTGAGCTATTTATAGAGGTATGAAATGTTCGATTATTATTATTTTATTTTAAATTAATGTCGATAAAAAAACTTGAAAATGTTATACAAAGTTTCTTATAAGTTGTATTGTTAGTTGAAATTAGAATAAAATTTAGCGTAAATCTCCACTATTTTTTTATGAGCTTGTGAAATTAGATTTGTTAGTAAAAATCTGCAAATTTTTATGAATTATAAATATATGAAAAATTGTCTTTTCTATCTATAAGATTTTAAAATTTAATACAAGGTTTGTCATAATATGTTTTCGCCCTAATCAACAAAAAATGTCTTCCGGAATGTCAATTAAAATTTTTATGAGCGTTTGAAATTTAAATGTTTACAACATTAGATATTCCCTCGATATCTCATGAAGCGATTTTCTTATTTTGTTGTAATTAAAAAACGAATAACCGTAGATAATTGAAATTTACACCAAAAGTTTATTTTATTTTTGATTCGTTTTGAGCTTTTTAGGGACATTTTAAAATTTAAATTTTTTAGTTTGTTTTTTCTATAAGAATTAATTATTAACTTTTTTTCAATGGGTCAAAAAGCTTGAGAATATAATACAAGGCTTCTCACAAATTGTTACATTATTAGTTTAAAAATATTAAAAATACAAACAGTATTTTTTTTATAAGTATTTAAAGTTCAAATTTTTACAACATTTATCAAATTGAAAATGAACAAATTATTTTGTAGTTAAAAATTTACAAAATATTAAATTTTTTAGCTGAGAGTTGAAAATTAAAAACAAGGTTCCACATAAGTAGGTCATTCTGTGACCAAAAAATTTAAAAATATTAAATTGCATATTAAAACCAAGGATAACAATTTTGTTGTAACTTAAAAATATTAATTAGAAACTTTTAAGTATATTATTATATTTTATACACACAGGAACATTTTCAAATGCAATTTTTTATAAAAATGAATTTAACCTACTGTAGGTATCTAATAGTAAAATAAATTACTTTAATCTAATCTTACCTTTTTATAGTAATAAGGAGACTATGAGAATTGAGAGCTACACTAGAGATGTTTCGTTCACGGACTAACTTGTTCGGTTTTAGCGATTGATAGCAATTGGTGGCACAATAAATGAGTGACTGCTTTTATATATAAAAGGTGGGTAGGTGGGTGCCCTTAAACAAGGTTTAAAAAAGGTTTGGTGCCACTGCAGGCCAACCATACGACATATCCATGTCTAAATAATTATTAAGATCAAAGATAAAACAACATCTATACAGTATAACAATGTAAAACGACCTTAAAATGCTTATGAATTGCTTAAAAAATAAAAATTTTAACCTACAAAGTGCATTAAAGCCTGGATTACACGGGGCGTAGCGCCGCGCGAGTGTGGAGCGTGTATAATATATACCGCGCACAATAGACCTATAAACTAAGTTAGTTATAACTAAAGACCGGATTTATATTCTCTTAAAATACCCAAAATATGATGCTATTATTCTCTAAAAAACCTTCAAATATTCTCAGTATATTCTCTCAAAAATTTAAAAAATATGCAAAAATAATCAAAAAACATCATTATATGCTTTAATATGCATTTATTTTTTAAAATTTTATTTTCAACTATATTTTTATAGTGAGATATTAATTAGGTATTAAGAGTTGCATATTATACCTCATGGAATAGTATTGCACTTTAGCAAGAGTAAGAAGTTGGAATATAATATAAATACAACAGTATAATATTAAAACACAAAAACAAAATTTTGATATTTGAATATTTGATAAACTTATAAGTTGATCTTATCAGTAGATATACATAGATAAACCTTGATAATACTGCGTGTTTTATTTTTATCAAAATGAAAAAAAAAAAAAATTGTAAATGGTCAAAAAAAATTTTTCAGAGTACCGTAATATTCAAATTAATAAAAATAAATACAAATTTTTGCTCACAATTTACGAAATATTCCAAAATATGCTAAATGGGTTAAATATTCTCCAACCCATGAAATATTCTCAAATATGCAAAAAAAACTTTTTTCTACGCATTCAGAATTGAGCGAATCGTCCACATTTTTTACTCTCATAAAACTGCATAGACCCAGTTACGATATGTAAAAACATATAAATCCGGTCTTTAGTTATAACTTATAATATAGTTTATAGATTTATGCCTTGTAAAATAAAACTGACGCGCCGTTAGATTGGATAACACGCGCCGCACCAATTTTCCTTTGGTGCGGGATACACAGACCGCGTATATATACTTTGCCACGCAACACGAATCAGAAGGTCAACTATACCACGCTATATACCGCTGACCACTCCACACTCCAAACGACGCTCAACGCGCCGTGTGATCCCGGATTTAAAGTCATGTGTACAATATTATGTATTGTAATATTTATGTTTACATATAAAAAAGTATAAAAATATAAGACCTAATAGTATGGAGTATAAAAATATGTTTAATGAAAAAAGAGATCAACTATTATAAAAAATATTATATAAAAAATAACATTAAATTACACATATTGAAAAAACTGTATGCAATTTGTTTGTATCAGATAATTACATGAATTAATTGAAGTTTGTCTTTCAAGGTGCTTTTTTTCTTCTTCGTGTGTTAGATGACGGTGGATCATATGTTATTCCACTGTCTTTTGTCTGTGCATTTCCATACATGTCTGAGAAAGAATATTCAGGTGGTTCCTCTCTTACTAAAGAAGTTATAGATTCTGATGAACTAGTCATCTTGAATGAAGTGTCGTCTTCAGAATCATTAATGACTTCTTCCCAATTAATATCTCCATCTGGTTCGCTATTCTCAACCAAGGTTGTATCTATATTCATACTAATATTTTGTAACTGAACAGCTTGTATCCCCTAGAAAAAAGTGTTTTAAGTGAATTCTACATACAAAACTTTTATTGATTAACTTACATAAATTTGGAAAGCTTTTATAGCCAGCTTCAAGAAAATATTTGTACAATTTTTGCCTGTTATCATCAAGGTCTGTAAGCCACCTTTCTTAAAATTGCTTATTTGAGCATCAATATCCTGTAATAAGACAAATAAGTAAACTATATAGTAGATTTAAGAAGTTGTTTGTTAATTAGAAATTTTAAGCAACACATTATTTTTTTTTTTAAATTCATTTTTTTCAGTACTTAACCTTAGTATAAGTCTTAAGACATATACTTATAAAATGTTTAATTTATTGTGTCTTTATATTATTTGATTCAAATTAATGTTTAGTTTCTAAAATCAATAATTACTTTTAATCATTGAATGAACATTTAAAAAAAAATGATGAATTAATTTTTTTATTTTAGATAGATAGATTAAAAAATATAATTTGTGTATGGACTTGAAACTTTTACGTAATATTATACGTATTATTATAATATTTTATATACACAATGTCATTAACAAAACATTTAAATTCATTTTATACTATTCTATTTATATCAAGATCCTATTATATTTACACCATTCTACAGTTAGTTAGTATTGACCCATAACTTAATAACAATAATATATGATATAAATATAATACCTATACTATTATAACAATTAAATAACAGTAATATAAATGCAATGTTTTTGTCAAAAATTACTTATAGTTTTTTTTATATGGATATAATAATACAGACCTTTTCATGTCGTTTTATAAATGGACTTATAATATTTTTGTACACATAAGTTAGAGAGCTGTCTGAAGTTGGATAAGTCATGTAAAGAAACAATAGCTTCAGCTCATTGTAAAATGGCAACCTGAAAGTTGTAATATATAAACTTAAGTATTATTCAAAATCAATTATTTTTTTTTTTTAAATAACTTACCAAGGACCAATAAATATGTCTGTTATGGTCTCTACTGAAGTGAACATCGAAAAGGTTATCCAATACATTAGCCATATCCCCTGCATAAATGTACAGTTATTATTTATATAGTAAGAATAATAAAGTTATTACAAATAATATAAAACAAATATGTGTTCTAAATGATATCTTATCTGGTTCTTCTGGTATAGTTATTAGTCATATACACTTCAAGGTATTAGGTGTGTTTTATAACCATACCATTTTTAATCTTTTTGGTTACTTTGTTTTTATTAATGAAATTAAATCAAAAATATACAATTTAGCTAATTAGTTATTATTATTATTATTATTATTGTATGTTATTCGTCGGTCGGCAATTTTACATAGAAATATGATATGGGAGTAATAGAGTACTTATGTTTGAAGAGTGTGAGTCTATGGCAGGGACCAGAATCTTTTGAATTTATCTGTATCGGTTCCGGTACTGTTTCTCAAAAAATGAAATAACTGTTCTGGTTTGGTTCTGGTTTTTTGGTAAAAAGTAAGAGAGTAAAAGTATAATAATTTTAAAAACATATCTGGAATGTGATTTTAACTAATAGTATGAGAAATATTAGAAACTCAAATAATCTCAGTAGGTATACAAAACAGTAATACCATTAAATAATGATAAATAAAATTATTTTATATTTGAACCTAGAAGAACCTATTTCATTTAAAATTCCGGTTCGGTTCTGTTACCTTATTTATTAAAATAAAGGTTTTGGTTCCGGTTCCGGTACTTAATATTTTAATGGTCCCTGTTCCAGAACCGGTTCTTTTAGGTTCGGTTCCAGTCCCTGGTCTATGGTTAAAAAAATATTTCCTCTTATTCTAGTTAAGCATATTACAACTTAAATTAAATGAAACATATGTTACACATACCCAATAGTTATATTATGTAAGTTCCTAATAATGTTTGTTTAATATTACCACAAAATATTAATTTTATATAATTTTTAAAGTAATCAAACATACATAATTTGTTGATCGCTTTGTCTTGAGCACTTTGTATGACATATATCCTGGATATAATATGCCAAATAACATGCTGAAAAATAAAATTATGACAAATTGAAAATAAAATAGCTAGGTAGGTATCAATTTAAAATCCATACAATTAGATAAGTCAATATTAATCCATCCATAATAAAAGAATAAATATGACAACACAAGTAAACATACATTTTTTATAATAATAATTAAAAAAATAATTTTAGATACATTACAAATAATCCAGAAAAATACTCGTGAGTCGAGTTATATTTTAATAAAAACAGAAATTCTAAAGAAACAAAGGTACAATACTCACATCAGTGGTCTACATAAGAAGTCCGGTAACATTTTGACAGGTACAATTGTCCCGTAACGACGAACAGAAAAATAAATGTTAATATTATATTAATATATCCACTATCTGATCAATTTGATTCTGTTAATGGAAAATAGGTATAATATAATATTTAAATATTATAATTTATAACAGAACAATCAGAATTCACCAAAATCAGAGACCACGATATTACAATATAACATTATAACATATTGTGCATTAATCGTGCATACTGCCTACCTCTTCAATATTGTAAAATACTTAATTGTAACGTTATGTTTTGAAACAAAAAGAAATACAGTATGTTATCAACCGTAACCGTTCGTTGGTAATTGACCAATAGCAGCCAGCAGGACGTTCTGGATGTAATTGAATTTGATATATGTTATCAGCTGTTATCGATATTCGATAACGATAATATCACAGAACAATTTATTTTATCATCACAATAATTCATCTTCATGAGAAATTTTAAAAAATAATATCCAATAGACAATTTAGTCAATACCAAATGCCAAATAATGAACAGCGATTAACGGTAGTATTCATAACTTTGTATCTGTGTAAGTAAACTAGATAAAATTTCAAATTCTGATTTCCCTAATTATGATACTGTCCATTATTCCAACAATGACCATTAGTTAATTGTCATTGAACAGTTCTTATTAATTATTATTGTTTTCATAGAAGTCGCGTAATTGACATAATTATTGTAAAGTATTTATATTTGTTATAATTGTATTATCAATTGCAATAGCTAAAATGACGTATGATTAATTGTCTATCTCCTGAATTAAATAATTACACAAATGGAACAGTATTTTCCAACTATTAATGAAGGAAAAAGGCATGAGATACGTTCCACAATGGGTTCAAAAATAAAAATGACCAAGAGTATGTCTGTAATCCGAAGCCACAGATCTATTCTGAGTGACGGAATATTAATGGTAAAATAAAGTTTTATTTATTGTTTTTACAAGTATATAGATTGCAAGTCAATTGTTACCCTTGTAGAGTCTTTATCAATACTTATACAAATTGTAAAAATATTAAAATATTGTGTTTAATGTATTTCTTTCATTTTTATTTAGAAATCAGGAATAGGAAAACCATCAATTTACCATGCCTTAGTCATTATATTCTTAGAATATTTTGCTTGGAGCTTACTTACTTTACCCGTAATATCAGTAAGTATAAAATTAATTAGGAATAATTGTTAATACTTTATAGCAAGCTATTATATACATTAAAAAAATATATTTATTTTACAGAAATTGAATAATACATTCCAAGATCATGCTTTGCTCATGAATGGTATTATTTGGGGTATAAAGGTATGATTATCTATAGTTATTCTTAATTATTTTATCATTTTAATAACATTTAAAAATTTTTTTTAGGGTATTCTATCATTCCTAAGTGCCCCATTGATTGGTGCCTTATCTGATGTATGGGGGCGCAAATTATTTCTATTATTAACTGTATTTTTCACTTGTATTCCAATACCTTTTATGTGTATTGATTCTGGGTAATTTTTAAAATAAAACTTATAATGTCAAATTATTGTCAATTTTTACTTATGTAATGAAATGTAAAATATTTATTTTTAGGTGGTTCTTTGCCTTGATAAGTATTTCCGGTTTATTTTCTGTAACATTTTCAGTTGTATTTGCTTATGTAGCAGATGTAAGTGATGAGAAAGAAAGGAGTTGCTATTATGGCTGGGTGAATAAATCAAAATTAATTTAAATATATTAAACCACATAATTATTTAAAAAATAAATATCAATCATAAATTTTCTTTTTAGATAACTGGAACATTTGGAGCTAGTATGGTTTTTGGACCAGCCCTTGGTTCATATATTATGGAAATTTACAATACTAGTTTTGTTGTATTTTTAGCATCATTAATAGCACTTTTAAATGTATTTTTCATAATTGTTGCTGTTCCTGAAAGTCTACCACATAAACAACGAACATCTACTAATTGTATATCTTGGAAAAAAGCGGATCCATTTGTTGTAAGTACCTACTTAGTTGAAAAATCAATAAAAAGTATCTGCATTTGTATTTTATGTATGTTATTTAAAGGCTTTGAGAATGGTTGGTCGAGATCGAACTATATTGATATTATGCTTAACAGTGTTTTTGTCATATCTCCCTGAAGCAGGAGAATACTCTTCATTGTTTGTTTATTTGAGACTTGTAAGTGTTAAAATTTAATATGAATAATAGGTATTGTTTTAATAATGATGTCTTAATTTTAAATCAGTGTGAATTTATATTAGAATTTTCTATTCATGGTGTAATTAAAATTTTATTTTTACTATTTTTGAGCTATTTATATTCATTTAAGAGAATGTTACACCCGCATTTGTTGTGTCTGTCTTACATATGTAAGGCAGCAAAAACTGATGCATGCGGGAAAGAGCCGAGAAGGCTACAGTCATAACTAAAAAAAAATTTCACCACTTAAAAATGAGAATTTTGAGTGTGAAATATAGTTTTTATTTTTTTGATATTACCAAAAAAGTTATTCAACTTTGTAAAACACAAAAATAATAAATTTTGAAACAATAAGAACTTTTTTTGTATAAGTGATAAAAAAATAAAAACGATATTTTACAGATAATGTTCTCAGTTATATTGTATATCAATTTGGCGTCAGTAAAACCTAAAACGTTAGTATCTCAAATTTACAATTTTCTTAGGGACTTGTCCAATGTGTAATCTATCGATAAATGGCTAACTATAATTCTGCTGTCATAAGCCACTAAGCAGTAACTCCGAAATTGTAGTTTTCAGGAAACAATTAAACAGTATTGGGACATAGTGCTAATTTACCTATTATCTTATTTTCTTATCAATTTATATGTATTTTTAATGAGGAAAACCTTATATTTTATTATGGGTATCGATAGAGGATTAAAATATCTATTGATAGACACCAAAAACTCGATTTCGACCAAAATGGAGTTACTGCTTAGTGGCTTATGATGGCAGAATTGATGTTAAATTAGATTAATATAATATAATATTTATTATGTATCAAATATTTTCACTTCATCATTTTAATTTTAGGTAATGGGATTTAGTATGTTCAAAGTATCAATACTTATTGCATTACTAGGACTGTTTTCAGCAGCTATTCAATCTGTGCTTGGCATAATAATGAAAATGATGGGAGCTAAATACACAATAATGATTGGTTTGGTATTTGAAATCATGCAACTTATGTGGTTTGGATTTGGTTCAGAGACTTGGTATGTTATATATTCCTTTACATAAATTAATTAATTAATTAAATATTAAAATTCTCTTATTCTGTAACTAAAACATAAATAAGCTTAAAAAATATAATTGAATGTTAAAATTGGTTGTTTATTATACTTATTAAAGGTCGTTTGGCGCAAATAGTTCAATTTTTTTGGGTAGACAGAATTACCCTATCATATTAAATAAAAGAGAAACTTCTTATAAAATCTTGCTTAACGACCATATTATTGATACTCATATATTTTAAACAATATCACACAATAAATAAACAAGCCGTAAATTAAAAACTAACTACAATAACTAATTTATGGAAGTCAATAACAAGACAGCAACAATTACTGAAAAATAAAATATAACAACAATATGAATGGCAAGACGCATCTCATAGCCCAATGACACTCTTCCCAATTCCTAGGGGAGTAATGTCCTCGGGAAAATGAGACTTATTATATTTACTTTTATAGTGAATTTACTGTTAATTTACTACAGGAATTTTACTGTATTTGGATGTTTATTGGAATAACCTGCCTTAGGTACTTCTAGCTCATGTGAAGGGCTCGAAACTAGTCCATTCTAATAATACTACAATGGTATAACAAATATATTATTGACATTCAAATTTGTAAAATAAATATTTTATTAAATTCATTATTTAATTTATCTATCCGTATTGTAAGTGGGTATACGTTTTCTCATTGACTATTATGATGCTTCACCACTGCTTATTGTCTATTACTTATGAGACATAATCATATATATTATATATTTATGCTTAATAGGGTTATGTGGTCCGCCTGTTTTTTGGCTGCCATTTCAAGTGTTACATATCCTGCTATTAGTTCGTTTGTTTCCATTCATTCAGATGCAGATAAGCAAGGTTTAACATTTTCTATGCAATTTGAATGTTTAAAATTAAACTAATGAAATTTGATTTTTTATTTAGGTGTGGTTCAAGGAGTGGTGACTGGAGTAAGAGGCCTTTGTGGTGGATTAGGACCTGCAATGTTTGGATTCATATTTTATTTGTTTGATGTTAATTTGAATGAAGGAATGCAAATAGCACATACTACTCAACATTCACTTAATAGTTCAGTCATAATTAAACATTTAAAGTACAATATAAATAACGATCCGTCTTCTTCGGTAATAACTGTAAACTAAATATTATATAAAACAATTATTGATATTACTTCTTTAAATATATTATTTATATTAACTTATTAATTATTTGTATTATCTTTTGTAATTTTAGATGATTCCAGGACCACCATTTGTCTTTGGTTCACTTCTTGTTATGTGTGCATTATTGGTCTCTGTTTTTATTCCAGAAAATGTTCCCAATGGCTCTGACCAACGTCATAAACAAATTGGTAAACATTTTTATTTGAATATTTAATGGGATGGATTAATATTTGATTAAATAAATAATAACTATTATACAAATAGTATTGATGACATTTTTATTTTTTCAGTAAATATACTACTTTTATGGCATCTAAAAAAATGTAATTAAAAATGATCCAAATTGTAGTTATGAGTTAAAAGTTTGGCTGTTTAGTGGAGTACCCAGGGAGAAAAAAGCCCTTGTATAAATATAAAGAATATTCAAAACTAACATTAAAATGTATTATAATATTGAAAAAATATTATTATGTAGGTTTTCAACCTAATAACATAATGTTGGGGCTAGTCAGATAAGCAATTTACATCAAAAAAATACAAATAACATTTTTTGAATTTAGATGTTGTATTTCAGTACATTTGTGTAATAATAATTTAGTTTCTTGTGTTTATATCGCAATAATTTTTTATTATTTTTTTTTTTTTTTCATTGAACTACACTAGTTTAAATACTTAAACTCTATAAAAGAATATTTTTATTTTGCTAAAAACAACTTTATAACATTTTCCATTTAAGTAACTACTGTTATTTTAATGAATAATCATGGGTGTAGCCATGGGAGTGGATCCCCCATGAGATTTTTTCGATTATGAGTGTAGCAATAATTGTATCGATTACAATATAGTTTTTCTTTTGCCTGTCATCACCTTTTGTGGCAGTAAAAATCCTTCGATTTTCGACTTCAAAATATATTCTGGTTTGGAAGTGATTCTATTTGGTATTTTGGAAATAAGTGAAAAATATTTGGAAAAAGATAAGAAATTCTCAGTAGTTTTCAAGTTGGAGGGGGGAAAGGGAAAACAAAGATTTTACTCAAAATTAGTATTAAAAAAAGGTGGGCAAGTGGATATCGCTCTGCTGTACAGTATGTTTCAAGTGGGTTACTTGAATTCAATTATATAATATCATTGTATAAGAAAACCCGATTCTGAGCGAAAACGGTCAGTCTGCCTATGATATTACTAAGTATATTTGATGATATTATTGTCAATAAAGTAATTTATATATAACCAATTTATGTGGAACCTTGTTTTAAATTTTTAATCCTTAGCTATAAAAGTTGAAAATTGTATACTAAAAATAATTATTAAATTTTAAATTTGATACATTTTGTCAAAATTCGAACTTTAAATGCTTATAAAAAAAAATTTTGTCTATGTATTTTCAATGTTTTTCAACTGTAACAATATATCAAGATCCTTGCATTAAATTTTCACACTTTTTTACCCGACAAATATATTTTTATTGATATTTATAGAAAAAAAAAACTAAAAAAATTGAAAACTGACAATGTCTATAAACAAAAAAGAGGGAACATTTTATGGTGTATAGTAAATTAATAAATAAATTATTTATATAATATTTAAATTTTTGAGTTTTCGCGAGACTAACGGACAGCTATTCATTTTTATATAAATATATGAAAAAATATGTAAAAATATGAACTTCAAACCCTCATAAAATTTAATTTGATTTGCTTGTAGACATTTTTTTTTTGATAAAGGTGGATTAACTTATGAATAATCTTGTATTACATTTTCAAATCTTAGATTTAAAAAGAAAAAGTTTTATGAATTCTTAATTCAAAATAATTTGCTAATTTTCGTGATTTTTCCATATTTTGTAAATTTTTGAACTTTAAATGCTTATACAAAAAAACTGTGACAAAGGATTTTTAATATTTTTCATCTGCCTTTAAGACAATATACTAGGAGACTTCTATTAAATTTTCAAGCATTTTTAACCAACCAAAAAAACTTTATTGATATTTATAGAAAAAAAAAATTAAAAAAATAGAAACTGAGAATGTCCTTAAACAGCTCAAAATAAGTCAAAATGTTATAGTATAATCATTCAGTCAAAATGTCATGTATACGGTCATTTGTTTAAGAGTTACACCAAATACCAAAATCGATTTTTTCGAAAACAGATTTTGTGTAAAAGGTCCCGCTTTTCCTTAATTTTTCTTTTGTTTTTCACCTCACTTTTGAAAACTACTGGGAAATTTTTACTATTGACCCCCTCAAAGTACCTAGATTCACTTTCCTATCAGAAAAGATACTATTGAAGAAAGTCTAAGCATTTTTACTGTCCTAAAAGGTGATGACAGATACAAAAATTTAAAATTTAAAAAAAAAACACACATCATTGTAAAATCAATATATTCATCGTTCCACTCAGAATCTAAAAATTAATTTAGTTATTTTTTGTAACTCTGAAAAAAAAGCCGTACCGTAGTTAGATTAAATTTTCACCAAATGTTTATATCACCATTTTCTATACACAATAACATTTTTATAATATTTTAACTCTAAGCTATTTATAAGCAGAAAAAAATGCTACTTTCATTAAATTGTTTTCCATACAATTGTATTCGCTTGGTCAAAAATCTAATAGAAGGTTTCAGATATTAGGTTGATTTTAATGAAAATTAAAAAAAAAGTTGAGCGTAAGTCACAAAACTTTTTTATGAGCACCTGAAGTTAGACTTGGATATTTACCCGTAAATTAGCAAAGTCTTATTTTGTTGTAATTCAAAAACAAATAACCATAACTTGAAATATTCACCAAATGTTTTTATTATATAGTTTTCTATGCATTAAAATTGAAAATTTTCTAATTATTGTGACTCATTTTAAGTTATTATTAAAAATTTTAACTTTTTTGGTTATTTGTCTACAAATGTTAATAAATTTCTAAATTTTCTTTTCTAGACACTAATGCACCTACTGTATATCAGATCAGTACCCACTTGCCCACTTTTTTGTCAAATGCCTTACACAAGTCTGCTTAGACTCTACCTCCAGCCTTTACAATGGATACTAAGTCAGTATAGTCCATAAAAAATTTAGTAATTGTTGACATGGATTGCCAAAGACCGTTTTAAGCAGAATCCAATTTCCTTTTAAAAATATTACAAAACTTGACTCCATATTTTTATAAAATAATTGAAATGGAACACCAAACTAAGTCATTGGCCTAAAATTACTTATTAATGATCAATCTCCATATTTTTATATCGGATATACTTAAAATTAATTGCCATTGTTTTGGAAAACTACTTGTCTCTAAAGACAGAAATAACTTATATAATTTATAAATGTATTGGATAAGTTATAAATATCTAAATCGTATTATAATACGAAAACACCATGTTTTATTATTATTTTGAAATAGTTATTTTTTTATATATTGTGTATCTAATTATGTTACAGGTTCTTCAACTCAAGTACAGTATCAAATTGGACGAATAAATGTTCAATCTTATCTTTAATTGGTTGTCTAGTCACATATTATATTTAATGTTTAGTGTTGGTTTCTTAAAAAAGAAAATAGTAACTACCTTTTGTGATTTGTGTTAAAGCTTATATATTTAAAATTTATTTCACATTAAGTTAAACTTTACAATGAAGAAAATAGTTACTATACAATATTATTAAAATAATTCCTATGGAAGCATTATTTAATTTATGTGTTAATTTATTATTTAACATAGTATTATACACTATACACAAGTTGTTTTAAAGCTTGTCCATCCACTATTAATTATAAATAGATAATCAGTTTGTAAAAAGTAAAATCATAATTTTTATTCTACAAATGTTTTTTCAGCTAAATAAGCGTACATCAATAGGTACATACATTGTATTAATTTAATATGTATGTTGAGTTTTGTGTATACTTTAAACATTTAATATTTTAAATTACTAATTGAGCAATGTTAATGGAATATTGTAAAAATATGTGCATTAAAAAAAAAAATCTATTCGGATTTATAAAATAAGAGTTAAGTATTTATAGTTAACTGTTCATTGTATTGTGAATTATTCTTCATATTTAGTATATTCACATTCTCATAATTCTCATTTTGTTATCTAAGTTAATGTATGCGTTAAATTTTTAATTTACTTATAACTTATTTATATTCCTGATCTCTGTTAAATTAGTTTAAAATCTGTTTAATCTATATTAATTTATTATGCACCCAAATTGAAATGTCCCTAGATAAAAAAAATAATTCCATATTATTGCGTTGATTAGAATTTGCTATTTTCGTATTGAAATGCTAAGTGTAATATTTAAATGCTAAATAAAAACTATTTAATTGGCATGTTGTTTTTGTTTCTTCACAACAGTGGCGCAACCTTGTAGGGGGTCCCCGGGTTCAGGCCTCCCCCCTTGGGCCATACCTGGCTATAATAAGTGTACTATAATATGGTATACTACCCAAATAGTATGAAAAAAGTGTCGTAATGTTCTAACAAGTGTGGGACCCCCTCTTGAAAATATTTTGGTTGCAGTGCTTCGCAATCATAGGCATATTAATAAATATGGTTATTAATATGTCTATGATCGCAATGTGTATGTGTCTTTGTCAGATAGCTTTTTACGATAATTAATATCTCAGTCTAGTGACTGCTGATCAGTTCATCGGAGAGCCAATATAAAAGTTAATTGTAATTTTAAAAGTTTGTGGCCTGAAAGGATGACTGTCAGAAGTTTTGGCGGTTTATGCGAGGGTCATGGAGAGTAAAACGATCAAAATAGTCCGTGATATGCGCGAACAGCGGTAGATGATTGTAATGCGCAAGCGCGCACTAAAATAATGGCCATGTTATATTTTTCCCGACCATTCGAAAAAGCCATAGTCACGGTGTAGTCATGGCTGTAGGTTCGATGACGAGACGCGGGCGTGAATTGTGACGTCACGTCGTGCCAATTAAATGGACATATTTTGATATCAGAGCTGATAATATTACGTAAAACGTTTTTCATTTCCAACGTCGATATTTTGCTGTACAATTTTGTTATTTTACGATGCACTCGAATCCGGGAAATTCGCATCGATCGATATTTTTAACTAAAATCCGGACAGTAAAAAACACGATATTCCAAATCTATGTTTTTCATTTTTCCATGAAGAGTCGTGATATGTTGCTTAGGTTATGTTTCTTACTTCCATACCTACAACTCGTTGACCATAATTGTCTACCTTTATTCTTCAATCACATCACATCACGTGAGCACGGCGATGAGAAACAGTTTTTGGTGATAATTTTTTAGTGTTAGATTCTTACTAACAAGTTAAATCGAATTAACATTGTTGATGGTTAATGTTATTACTATTAGTCTATTGGTCTTACTAGTTTCTAACTCTTAAACAGTACATTTGACGAATCTATTGACGTCTTACACCGCTTGTTTTCTTTGTATTCGGAAGCATCAACAATGCTTATCACGTTCAAAAATTTGCAACAGCACACATTCAAACTGGAAATTGATTCGGACCAAACGGTAATATATTTAATTTTCTAACGTAGTGGGTTCATACAAATTTAAACGAAGTACTGTTTCTAATCAATATATCTAATGTTTTAAGTGTACTCGTAACATTACTCTTATGTTCTTAAGTGTAGGTACCTAAGCCTAATCTAAAATGCTGTATTTTTCATTTCATCACAGACATTTATTAAATTTCAATACACTCAAATTAAATATAGTAACTATGTACTCTATAATATAACTATGTTATTTCTTTCATTAAATTATGTTGGTTGTACAATTAATTAAGATGCTTGTAGGCTACATTAACAAGTCAAACATTATTATTATTAATAGTTTTTATTTTAACGATGTAAACTTAATTTAACTTTCATAATATGCATAAACATTGTTAAAAAAAAGATGTGCTTAAGTAAGTTAACGCAATTTTAAACACATTTAAATTTTTTTTAATATTACCTACATCCATCATCAATATTTTGACTTAAATGTATTGTATTTCCTTTAATTTCCTTCAACACGTTTAACAATGTTAATTTTACATGCGCGCTAGCCAGAGGCTAACAAGATTTAACCTGCGGCCATCAATCGCCGCTTTTAAAATATGATAATGCGATAATGAAAAGCCAATATAAATTTCAAATGTGTTTTGCTATAGCGGCCTTATAAATACTTGATACAAAATGGGTTACTGTATGTCAACAACTCGCCATGGGTGATCATTTACTCTTGTCAACTATGTGTTGATATTGTCATTGAACATGTTAAAATCAAGAAAAAATTAATCTGTTCAAACCCCAAAAGACTAGTATTTAATCTTATAACAAAAATAAACATTCAATTTTTATAAAATGTAAGCAATTATTATAACCCAGCATCTTTGATTTTGTTAGATTGAACTATTAATTACAATCATAAATTCTTAAATAGGTTTGAATACAATTAATTATTGATTAAATTGATGTACCTATGTTAGAAGATTGTATTACATGTTTTATAATATTAATACTATCGTACACAGGAATAATGTGTTGCTATTGCTAGGTTTTTGTGATCATGCGAGCAGTATATTATCAGGTACCCCTTTGGTGCGTACGTAAGTGTATAATTTAACTTCAAAGTATCAAAAAATGCTAAATATTGGTCCACTGAAACCGTGGTCCAAACTCTACATTCTGTACTAGAATATAAAATAGGCTTATCGTATTAGTATAATAATTATTATTATTAAAACTAATAGCAACCATTTATAATCAACAATGATAATATCAAAATCCCTGTTTGAGAACATCTCCAGGTTGGACCTCTTATTTAACTTTTTTGCGACAAAATGTCTTCCCAAAGGTCTAATCTGTCTCGGTACCAAATTTCGTTGCAATCTTATGAACAGTTTAGGAATGCTTAAAGGACAGTCGGTCAGTCAGCCTCAAACATTTTTTGCCTTTTATGTATATAGATATTTAATAAATAAATAGTAAAAAAACAACGATTAATTTAATAAATTTTAAATTTTTAGGTGCGACAATTAAAGGAAAAACTCCAAGCTGAAAAAGGATCTGAATATTTGGCAGAAAACCAAAAGTTGATTTATGCCGGTTGGTTTTGCTTATTTTTAACATAATATAGATAACTATTAAAATATATAATATCTTATTATTATTAATACTTTTTTTTAATAAATAAACAGGAAAAATACTTAGTGATGATACTAAAATAAGTGATTGTAACATTGACCCAAAAAAATTTGTGGTGGTTATGGTTTCAAAAGCAGCTGGTGCGGTTAGTGCTACTAAATCAACAGCATCAGTTTCAACGCCTATGATACCAGCAGACAAGTAAAATTTGCCGATATATTTCAATATTTCTCATATATTTTAATTAATATTTTTCTTTCAGTTCTCCTATACCGATTGTACAACCTAGAGTTGTTGTAGAGCCATTACCACCTCCAGTAGAAACACCTGCTTCTGAACCAGAATCTGCATCTAATGATGAAACTGAAAGAACGATTCAAAATATTATGGATATGGGATATGAAAGACCACAGGTTGGAAAATGTTCTCTTCTATTCATATTATAATTTTGAACCCAAATTTTATTTTTATTTTCAATTTAAGGTTGAGGAAGCTCTTAGAGCTAGTTTTAACAATCCAGACAGAGCAGTTGAATATTTACTTACTGGAATACCTCAGGAACTTCTAACTGATCCAACTATTTCTCCAAATAGGAATGTGCTCAGTGAAGGTAATCCTCAAAATATGGTTTTATTAAAATTAAATTAAATTGTAAATTATACATGTTGTTCTTTAAATTATAATTTCCCCCTCCCAACTACTACCACTCATTAAAAATGACGGTAGGATCTTCTATACTCAGGTAGTGACCAATTTTCGTCCAGTTCTGTCAGATCATACCCATAATTTTAATCGGTGTTCATCGTCACATTCAAAATGTCGACCACAGCCAAAAAATTGTTTACCAAAAAAAAATTTGAGTGTACTTATTTTTAAACTATAAACTAACAAATATATATATAGTTCTTACTTATTTTAAAGTTGTCTGTATTTAGTGAGTTTTCATTATTCATGATACACTATTTGAATTTCTTTTCATTGATCACAGGTATTTTCCATTTACTTCTAGCACCTGTTACTTATATTTTTTTTATATTCTAATAGTCTTAAAATCATATTAAATAGAATATTTTAAACTGTGGAAGTATGTCATATTTAAGGACATACAATTTTGGAATCTTAAGAGTTATAAATTATTACTATAAATTAATATTTTGTTAGAAATGTGTTTTTTTGTGGAACTGTAGTTTTTATTTCAAATGTTACTTGTGATTTGACAAATTGTTTGGATAGATAACTGATTATTCACATTATCTTCAATATTTATTATTATTTTATAATCTTCTTTATATACTTATATAAATTGTACTCTATATTGTTTTAAGACTCAGGTGATTTATCTGGTAGTAGCCAAGTTCCTGCAACTGATCCTCTAGCTTTTTTGCGCAACCAACCAACATTTCAACAAGTGCGTACTGTTGTTCAGCAAAATCCCGAATTAATAAACTCTGTACTGCAACAAATTGGTCAAACCAACCCAGCATTGTTACAAATTATATCTAATAATCAAGAAGCTTTTGTGCGTATGTTAAACGAACCTAATGAAGGTGCTGCTGCAGCACCAGTAGCTTCTAGTAGAGGACCAGCTGATGGATTCGAAGTGCCTGTATCTACACAAGACAAAGAAGCCATAGATAGAGTGAGTATTTCAACATATTAACATCTATCAGAAGATAATTTTTATTTTACATCTTTTCAGTTGAAAGCGTTAGGTTTTCCAGAACATCAAGTTGTGCAGGCGTATTTTGCATGTGAGAAGAATGAAAATATGGCTGCAAATTTATTATTGACACAAGAACCTGATGATTAAAATACCATGACTTCAAGACTGAAAGGATTTTGCTGAATAAATACATATTATAACAAAATTGCTGTGTATTTAACAAATTAATCTGAGAAATAGTAATTGTTTGTTTTGGAAAATTTGCTTCAAAAAAAAAAAAAACTATTTATAATATCTTAGAGCTAGAGCAGTCCTTAAAGTTATTTCTTATATTTTGGTTAATTTTATTGTGTTATTCTTTCTGATGGAAATAAAATCAATTTCTTAAAACATAATTTTTTTTATTAAATGTAAATGATTTTTTTTCCCATTTTAGTTTTCAAGCATTTAAAAACAAATAAATTCAACATATATTTAATGTGTCCGTCATATTTAATTATTTTAAAAGACTTCTATTTTTACCTCCAAGCCAAGTACCATAGTACAAATCATGTGTAGTGTATTCTTCGCATTTGATGAAATATAATATTTGTGTACATTGATAGACAATAAGGATATCGGAAATAAACAACATTATGTTAATATTCTTAAACACTCCATTATTACAAAAGAGTCTTGATGGAAAAAGAGTGTCTATAGATTGGCCAATCATTTTTAACTACATAGTATTTTAGGTTAGTATTATAAATGTTACAATTAATAGCCAGATTTATGCCAAATGTCAATAATTTCTTTAAATCAATTATATTATACATATTTTACTATTGCTTATTCATAAAAACGTTTATGATATATAAAATTATCAGACCTCGCTTAGTTGTTCAAATGCTCTCATATTGAAACTTTTTATTAGTACCTACTAATTATTATCATTAGCTGTTGGCATTGTTGCTAGAATTTTATATCTGGAATAGTTCATCAATAAAGACCTAAAAAACGGCAATTAAAATGCTAAGTGATGAGAAAGTGAATCTAGTTGGTGCATTCGGGAGGTCAAACTTTAAAATTGACAATAGTTTTTACGAGCTGCGGGAAAAACAACATACAAATTAAGGAAAAACGGGAATTCTTAGGCAAAATCGATTTTGGATTTTTTTGTAACTAAAAAAATGAACGTATATACATGACATTTTCACTGGTTGTTTATATTTGCATTTTCTATACACGATACATTTTTCAAAATATTATGACTTATTTTGAGCTGTTAAGGACATTTTCAGTTTCCAATTTTTTTAGTTTTTTATTCTATAAATATCAATACAATTTTATTGGTTGGTTAAAAAAGCTTGAAAACTTAATAGAGGGTTTCTAGTATATTGTTTCAAAGGCAGATGAAAAATATTAAAAATCCTTAGTCGCAGTTTTTTTTTATAAGCATTTAAAGTTTAAATACAAGATTACTCATAAGTTTGTCTACATTTATCAATCAAAAAATGTACCGGAAAGTCAAATTAAATTTTTATGAGCGTTTAAACTCCATAATTTTACAATATTTAATATTCACTCGATTTCTCATGTAGCGATTTCCTTATTTTGTTGTAATTCAAAAACGAATAACTTTAGATACATGAAAATTTCACTGAATGTTCATATTAGCATTTCCTATACACTGTACAATTTTGAAAATATTTTGACTCTTTTTGAGCTGTTTAAGGACATTTTCAGTTTCCAATTTTTTTAGTTTTTTATTCTATGAATATCAATAAAGTTTTATCTGTTGGGCGAAAAAGTGTAAAAATTTAATACAAGGCTCCTGATATATTGTTACAATAGCAATTGAAAAATATTAAAAATACATAGGCACAATTTTTTTTATAAGCATTTAAAGATCAAATGTTGACAACATTTATCAAAATCTCGAAAATTATTAATCATCGTATTTAATAAATTATAAAATGTTCAGTTTTTATAGCTAAGGATTGAAAATTTAAAACAAGATTCTACGTAAGTAGTTAATTCTCTTACCGAAAAATCTAAAAAATACAGAATGACAGTTTATTTGTATAGTAATACTAGCTGGTGTTACCCCGGCTTCGCCTGGGTTGCGACCATACGAATATTTCACTTTGAATTTTTTTTTCTTAATAAATTAAGAATTCAGTTTGGTAATGTTATTTCTTTTTATTTTCTTAATAAAATTTTCGGTGGTTTTATAACTACTATAAAAATGAAAATGATGAATGGTAAATATAAACCAGTCGATGTAGATAACAGTTGGATTGTTCCTTACTCTCCACTTGTTTCAAAAATAATGAAAGCACATATCAATCTTGAATCATGTAGTTCAGTCGTTGCAATAAAATACATATTGAAATACATTCACAAAGGGAGTAATCAAGCAATGTTTACAATTGAAAATAAAAAAGATGAAATTGAAGACTATCAATCTGGAAGATACATAAATAGTAAACCCAGAATGTTTTTATCTACGAATATTATTACATAATGTACGTGGTCCAACATCATTTAAAAACTTAAAAAGTGTTGATGGTATTGAATATGATACATACAGAGAAGCATGTCAAAAACTTGGAGTACTCAAATACACTATTGGAAAACTTAATTCAAGCCTTTTCTGATGGTATAGATACCTATATACCTTATACCCATTTAAATAATCCACCATACCAAAGAACACCATAAACTAAATCAAAACAACAAAAAATCTTGTTTTTGACACTCTTCTCTTATTCTGCAATAATTATTCATTAACTTTTCCTATATTAATCTTATTTTTTGTTCTTCGATATCGTTCTTATCATGACTTCTTTTCATTTTTGTATTTTTTATTTTGCTCGTAGTGGCTTCAGTGGCGTAATTTGGAATTAGTTCTGGGGTGGGATATACATTTATATTATCGTTCTAGTGGGGCAGGCTATACCCCCATACCCCCTTGACCATTAAATCTCATATGTGATAATATTATATTAATTTATTATTTTAAATAAAATGAGGTAAATAGTATAATAATGGTTTTCAAAGACAATAAAGTAAACAATTAATGACCCCGGTAAGTTTTTCAAATTTGCCGCAATTCTAAAAAATTAGGAAATTAAATTTTATATTATAGTTTCCACCTCAATTATTATACTTTTCCACTAGTCTACTACCCGATACCTATTTAGGGGGGTTTATAGGGTGTATTATATCGAAAAAAATTACTTCACGGGAATAATTCTCAGGCTTTGTAGAATTGTCGGATTTTGATGACTATTTTTTTATCTGAAAGAAAAAGACTTCCTACAGGCCACATTGATCTCTGATTTTGTATTTTATTTCAAATAAATGTACTAAAAAATTTGTAAAAAAATGTTTTTTATCTCTTTTTTTTCTAGCCATATTATAAAGTTTGAGAATAAAATATTGAAAAATAGAGATCGATGTGGACTAAAGAATATTCCCCTCTAGTAATTAAAAAAAAAAATAAAAATGTGGTTGGTTCTATGAGGCGGTATCGTTATTCCCACAGAGTGTATTTTTGAGGACAAAATGGCATCGGCACTGGGCGCCTTAAATGTATTTTAAATTTTTCATAAATTATTATATCAAGTCAATTTTCCTTTTTGTTTTTTTCGCCAAAATATGCAGTAAGTCATCGGGGTTCAACTTATTAATGTCCCGATGCACTGATAACATTGTAAGTCCATTCAAGCATAACGGCTACGAAATAGGCTAAGAATGTATGTACAAAAGGCAAAGCACACCTTTTCGTGACCGTCCCCCGAGCCCCCCGACCATGTCGTTTCCAGTCCATTGTATCTTACTTCGTGAGCTGTAGGAACAATTGTCTTGTCATATATTGTAATTATTGAACTATCGTAGTTTTATAGATACTAGTAAAATAAAAAAAATCTCAACTATGATAATATCCATGAATTCTTATTTCTCATTTTAAAATATTTCTTATCTTAAAATCTTTTAAAACCAAGTGCTTACGGGAATTTAATTATGGTTATTCTAAAAAAAAGGCTTCTGGGGGAGGATATAGCACCATAATTCCGCCACTGAGTGGCTTATAAACAAACAGTTTCCATAGAAACATAATAATTATTAAATATACATTAAAATATTATATACATGAAGTCGTCTCGACCTGGTGAAGGAGAAAGACATCAAATAGGGTTTTCATGTCGGTTCTGACCTTCCTTAGATGTAGCTGAATATCTATGTTGAATTTCAAGTAAATCGGTCAGGTAGTTTTCGAGATCATAAGGATAATAGAAACCGCCACTTACTTTTATATATATAGATATAGCTGATTATAAAATATGTATATAATTTTAATTTTAAATAGCTATAAATTATTATTTGTTTATTTATAATAATTTTTGTAAATTGTTTTAACAGTTTTTTACAGAAGACAGTAGAGTTCAGAGTTTTGTTGGCGAAATTGATAAATATTTAGAAATACATCCAATAAATATTAGTGGCACATGGGCAACAGAAGCAGAGATATTTGCTACTTCTCTGTTGTTGAAAACAAGTATTTTCATATATTCCAACCACTATTGTTCATGGCAACTCTTTGGGAAAGACGGTACATATAAAGATAGGATAAGCAATAACGAAAATTGTTTGTACATATCGCACGTTAATAGAAATCATTACCAAGTAGTTACTGATGTAGAGTAAAGAAAATTTATCAATACCTATATATTATGTAACGTTATATTTTTTATATTTTTAAGCTCAAAGTTTTTATATTATTTATTTATTCATTAAGAATTAAACAGTATTTTTAACATATTCGTGATGGTTGTTAAATATAAAGATAAGTCTAAAAATACAATTATACAATTTAAAATAAAATGTACAGTATTATACTATCGTCTCAGAATGAAAAGTTACAAAATCCCCTTTTTTTAAATGTTTTTTTTTGTATACAATTATTTAATATTTATTGTTGTATAATTCAATCTTGGAATCGTATCGATCCGTCGATTATTCAATGAGATACAAAAAAGGTGGGTAAGTGGATGTCGCTCTGCTGTACAGTAGGTTACAAGTGGGTCACTGTATAATGGATGCTTTTAAATTTGAATTCAATGATACAATATCATTGTATAAGAAAAACGATTCTGAGCGAA